CAGGACAAAACCAGTGCTGCCTGGGGAACAACGCGACCACCGTTATCTCTGAATGAATGGTATAAAAGAGCTTTTAATAAATGATAAACGAATGATCATCTGACTGGTAAATCTGGGCAAAGACTCTGCACCGGGGAAGCAGCAGAGGGCTGTTTGCCATGGCAAGTGAGCCCAACCATTGCCTTGGGTGGGAGGAGCTGGGAGGGGTTGCCGGAAAGAGCTTGTACCACCTGAGCTGCCCCTCACTCATCTGTTTGCTTGCTGCCTCCCAACAAAGGACACCATCCGGTTGTCAGGTGAAGACAGATGCCTCTTTGAGTCTAGCCAGGTCTTCCTTACGTGAAAGAGAAGGGGCTCCCAGCTTAGACTTCGCATTGCGTGCCAAAGCCTCTCAGGATAGCCCTGATGGCTGCCATGGAAAGAGAGGAATGGCTTAGCAGAGCTGCTGTTCTGACATCAGCTTTCCCTACACTAGTGAACTCCAGTAGCTGAATGTCTATCAGTTTGGAAATGGAATGGGGCCACCCAAACACAGAGGAGTTGTTTCTACATACTTGGGTGGGGGCACTTTTAGAGTACAGGAGTGTGGGACTTTGTAAACTAACACACACATACACGTACATACGTACTAAAAGGCCTAACAAGGACCTGACAGCTGGAACACTGCACTCTTAGGAATGTGAGGAAGAATACGCTGCAACTTTCTGTTGTGGATACAACTTGTTAGCAAGTAATAGCACTTCTCTCCACATGATTTGAAAAAAAATCTAATTGCTGAGTGGTTTCCAGATACTGCAGGGCAAGCCAGGTGGCTTTTTTTCTGTCCACTTAGCAACTCTAAAAAAAGAAAAAAAACAATGTACACAAGTAGGTTGGGATGTTGAAAATGAAGATGAGTCATGTAGATACTGACCATGGCACTTGGTGCTGCCTACTCAAGCTGTCCAGCCTGATCCGGCTTACTCAGATTGACTCCCTGCTAAAAGAGTGCGCGGCTGAAGTCTTAGGCTGCTTCAAGTTGGTAGTATGTCCTACTGGCTTCAGAAGGATTTAGTTCAGAGTTAACAAAGACTGGGCTAACATGCAGGTCATGGATGAACATTTTGGGTGTAGGATGTTGATCTTCTTGTGCATGCACCCACTGGGGTGGGGACACTCCCCCTCTTCTCTGGAGTCACTGAAGGGCCACCTCCCTGTGATCACTGCTTATCTTGGATCTCCCATCAGAGAGCAGGAGGGAATCCCTGGGTTATCTCCTGATTGCTGATAAAAGACCCAAGATAAGCAAGGGACAGGAAGTGCTGTTACCATGGTGGGCAATACTAAGTGGGCTGCATTTTTGGTGTAACTCTAATGCGTTTATGCATTTTTGGTGTAACTCTAATGGTATTTGCTCACATTGGGTTGGGTTCAGATTCAGTCATGGTTAGGGTAGACCCACTGAAACATGACTAATTTTAGTCCATCTAAGTATGGAATCTGGATCCAGCCAAGGTTCTCCTTTTTAAGGCTTGACTCCTTCACTCCCCTCTTTTATCAATTGTCTGTATTTCACACAAATTCTGTTTCTGTCTCTCACATAGAGAGAGATAAGTAGGTTGTAAACTTGCTGGGGAAAAGTTGTCTTTTGTTTCTTTTACGTTTAGTCTGTAAAGCACCAGGACTTGCTATGGGTACATGCAATCAAGCCAGCTCTGACTTATGCCAATCCTATGGATGATTGTCCCCCAAAATGTTCTGTCCTTTGCAGCTCACTCCGTTCTTGTAAACTCCAGGCTGTGGCTGCCTTTAGAGGATCGACCCATCTCACAGCTGGACATACACATTTAGGTAGGAAGTTCCCAAGGGAAAGCAAAGGAGAGGAAGAGAACAACGAAGCAGAACAACAGTTAAACAAAAACAGCAACAATACGGTGATGCAGCGGTCCACAAATCACAAAGAATGAAAAGCGGCTTTGATCTCAAATGTCAAACTGGACCCATCTAGGGCTTGCATCATTTTTATGGTTCCAAGTCTCAACAAGCGGCACACAACGCACAAAATCAGCGGACAAAAAACGCTTATCCAGACTCTGGGGGAAGTAGAAAAAACAAAGGTAGCCATTCTGGCCATAAGAAAAAATAGATTTGCAAAATCCAGCCGTTATTAGGGCCAACCAAAACATTACAAAAGTGCAGCCAAGCTTTTGTTCTGAGCTCTCCCTTCGGAGATCTAAGGAACAGGAAACCTTGCACACTATTTCGTGGTCCTAGGGCAAGTTTCACCTGTTCTTTCCCAGCATCACAAGCACTTGTTAAAGGCACAGGGCCATTTTCGAAAGTGGGGACTTTCATTCCCTGCTCACCCAACTCCCTTTCCCTCTCCTTTCCTCCCCCTCCCCTCCCCTCCCCCACCTTAACTGCAGGAGGCATGAAAGGGCCGGATCTCCCCTCTGGGCCATTTCAATGGTTCATTGTCATGCCCAGGGAGGTGGCTCATTTACACCCACCAGGGGGCTTATACAACCCCCACACACACTTCCTTGTTGCAGCCCTAAACAAGAGCAACACTTGCTACACTTATCTTGCCTGGGCATAATGGTTTGTTTTTTAGCAAAATGGCCCTGCAGTCGAGGCACAACTTCTGCCCCAGAAGCTCTTAAGCTTAAGCTCCAGAGGAGGGTGGGGATGGATTCTTGTTACCTGAGCATGAAAGAAACTCTTCACATGCTCAAAGGTACTTTGATTTCTATGTTCTGTTTTCTATGTTTCGCTCTGTTTTCTATGTTTCGCTCTGTTTTCTACGTTTCTATGGTGCGGGTGTTCAAGGATAGGCTGGACGTCCACATGGTGGGCATGTGGTGAGTGGAGCCAGCTGGTGCTGGAGGTCAGACTAGATGGCCCGGGAGACCCCTTCTGACTCGCTCTGTTTTCTATGTTTCTATGATCTTCCTGTGTGTGGTTTTAAGCTTCTTATACCTCTTGAGAGAACAAACCAATGATTCTCCCCAGAGACTGCAGAAGTGCCTCCCAGCTCAACTTCCTTGTTTGCCCTGGAAACAGCAAGAATGTGAAACTCAAATGGTCCCCACTTTAACCCTTCCATCCTGGGAGTAGGAGAGAATGTGGAATGTGAGGCTCCAGCTTCCAAGCACCTTGAACGAGAGAGCAAGTCTCATGGAACGCTGTGGGACTTCGCCTAGACCGGAGCACGGAGGTTTGGGGCTGCGACCTGATTATCAGAATGCAATGCAAGATCTAGCTGTGCCCACCTGCTACTTATGTGGCTTTTAAAAGGAAATTAAAATCCAAGCATGGTGCCAGTGCTTAGTCATGATAGAAGCTCTATGAGCAGGGGGTAAGAGTGTCTCTAAGCACAAGCAGAAGGCAGAGTTTGTAGGGGCTCAGATCTAACCTTAAAGACAAAGCAAGGGTATTTCTTAATGACAAAAGGAAGGCTTTTTTCGTGGCAGCCGGAGGAGACACATTTTCTAAAGTGGCTTAAATCCCATCCCTGCACAAAGAACAACAGGGAGCTACGTTAAAAAGAATGGTGTCCCATGCCTGGTAGAAAGGGCCAGCTCTTCCCAAAAGGACAAAGGAGTGCACCAAATATGTGAATGGCCCCCAGAACACATATGCTGTGTAGTGATTCTTAGAATCATAGAATCACAGAATAGAAAAGCTGGAAGGGGCCAAGAAGGCCATTGGATCCAACCCCCTGCTATTGCAGGACACCAAGTTACACCATCCCACTCAGATGGCTGTCCAGTTTCTTTCTGAATGTCTCCAGTGTGGGAGAGCCCACCACCTCTCCAGGCAGCTGGTTCCACTCTCATATTGCTTTGGCAATGAGGAAACTTTTCCTGATGTCCAGCCTGAATCTGGGTTGTCGCAATTTGACTTGATTATTCCATGTCCTACATTCTGGCATCAGTAAGATGATATCTTGACCTTTCTATTTGTGACAGTCTTTCAGGTACTTAAAGAGGAATATCATGCCCCTCGCCCTCAGTCTTCTCAAGGCTGAACATGCCCAGTTCTCTCAGTCTCTCTTCATAGGGCAGTGTTTCCAAACCATGGATCATTTTTGTTGCCCTTCTCTGGACCCTTTCCAATTTTTCTGCATCTTTCTTAAACCCTGGTGGCCAGAACTGGACACAGTATTCCAGATGAGGAGTATAGGGGAACTTCTACTTTTCATGATTTGGAAGTAATACTTTTGCAAATGCATCCCAAAATAGCATTTGCCCTTTTTGCAGCTGCATCACATTGTTGGCTCATATTTAACCTGTTGTCCACAAGAACTCCAAGGTATTTTTCTTTTTCAGTTCTGGTGAGCCATGCATTCCCCATCTTGTATAGATGCGTTTGGTTTCTTTGGCACAGGATAGCAAGTGGTTAGACTGCAGGACTGCAGATACCCGGTGTAAAGTCTTCCCCTGGCCATGAAACTCCCTGGATGACTTTGGGACCTCACAGGGTTGTTGGGAGAATACGAGGCACAGATAAAGACAGCATCCTAGCCTACCCCGCAGGGTTGCTTTGAGGATCGATGGCACAGCAGGCGCGGCGGGAAGTTCCTATAGGCTGCTTTGGCCTCCTCGGACGGAAGGCGGGCCATTCATCGAACAGGGGAAGGAATACCAGGGAAGGGGCCCGGGGCTAGGCTCGCTCCCTCCACGCCCTTTCGGCTTGCTGGCAGGCCGGTCCCCCCCGCCCCCCCCCCGGGGGCCCCACGGCTCTCCCTTTCTCGCCTGCCCAGCCCAGGTGCCGGGGCACGGCGCGCCCCCGCGAGGGATCGCTCGGCAGCGGGCGCCCCTGTCCCCCCGCGCCCCCCGGAGACGAGCGGGGGGCGGCGGCGCCCCCGCGGGCCTCCCGCCCCTCCCGCCTCCCGCCGCAGGCCGCCAGTTTCACCTGCCGGTGACGTCACGGCGGGGCGGGAGGGGTGCGGCCCGGGGAGGGCTGCAGGGGACGGGAGGGCTATATACGGGCGGCCCCGGGAGGGCAGCGCAGTCGCGATCCCGCGCGCGCCTGGTGGAGCCGAGCCCGTCCGCTGCGAGCCCGGCGCGTAGGTAAGGGGCGCGGGGCGCGCGGGGCGGCGAGGGAGGGAGGAAGGGAGGGGGCGGGGGGCGCGCCGGCCTCCGCGCGGGGCACGGGAGGGTCACCCCCTCCTCATCTGGCGCACGCGTGTCTTCTGTGCCTCGGAAGCGCACGGGAGTGGCGCCCGGACTCCTGGGTCCTCTCCTCAGCGCTCTGGTGGACCTTCACCTCAGGAGAACAGAAAAGGGCAGTGCCCCCGCCTTGGTGTCAGAGTTTTGCTATATTCATTTTGATTTTTAAATCTGCCCCCTTCCCCTAGGCTCCGGGCGGTATCCTTAGAGATTACCTTTCGCGGGCTTAGTAACACCTTGCGCCGACCCGGAGGTCTGTTCTTGCCGTGGAAAGCTAGATCAGGTGATCGGGTTTTACGAGTTCGGGGACCGAACTCTGGTTCAAGTCAAGCCGTGAGCAGAGCGCGCCCCTGAGCATACGCGGAGCGCGGCCAGGCCGCTCGTCGGGACCGCGGGACCTCGCCAGCCGCAAGTTCAGCGGCCCTCGGCGCGCCAGGGCGAGCGCGGCGAATCCGCTCCTGCGCTCAGGAGGAGAACCTCGCCGCCCAAAGCGAACCTTCTCCGTGAAACGGCCCGTTTCGCTTTCCTGGGAATCTGGAGGGGGGCGCTGGAAATCCGGGGGCCACCCCGCTGTCTTCCCTTGTCATAGGAAAGCGAGAGGAAGAGCGAGGTCCCTCCGTCCCTCGCTCGCTCCTGAGCTCAGCCCTGGCTGCCGAGTGGCGCCCTGAAGTTTTGGTGGTGGTTAGCGAGGCTGGCAGAAACCCCCTCCCGAGGGTGAGGGGGGGGGAGAGTTTCGATTGAAGGGCGAGGAAAAGCCCATAGGGACGACCCCGCCTTCTCGTCTCCCTCGCCCCCATTCCGGCCCTGCCCGGAGCGTGCGTGCGGTGGTGCGCGGTGGGGGGGAGCCTTTGTTCCCCGGAGCTTCGCCGCCCAGTGACCGCGTGTCCCTTTGCCCTGTAGGGTGAAGATCGGAGAGGGGGTTGCTTTGTGGACTGGAAGCCCACCCCTCGCCACGGGCACTCACGCTTCCCCGCTTCTCGCCACCAAATTGCAGGTGAAGCCAAGGTTGCTTGAAAAACAGCTCTTAAGTTGCAGGACAACTTGCGGCTGGTAACTTGAGGGCTGAACCTGAACGTATGTGGATGTGGGAATGCAGAGCCTCCGGGGAAATCGTGCGATGAATGCCTAGATGAGTGTTTGAATGCTTAAACCTGACCCTCCCTGGCAAGGAAGTGGTTCTTTTGCACATCCCCCGCTAGAAGGGCTGGAAAAGTGAAGGCAGAACCCTGAGGATTTGGGTTCTGCTGCTGAACTCTTTTTCAAACGGGTTTGGAGAGAGAATCCCCGCGAGGCCCGGCTTGTCTTGTCTCGCCAAATGTAATTGAGAAATGGGGAACCAGCCCTTGAACCTAAATTTGTTGGGATTCTGTTGTTTTCTTTGGGGGAAGGTGTCCTCTAAGAGGAACCCTGTAACAGGTGAATTTGCATAGCACCTGTACCTACAAGTTGGTATACGCTGTGTATGTGAAACGGCTTGGGGTAGATCAAAAGCCTTAAGAGGTGAAACCCCCTGTAAAGCACCTCAGTCTATATGATAATCCCGCTTTCTTGCGATTGTAGGGCAGTAAAAGCTGGGAAAGCTTCCTCGGCCATGCACTGCACCACCGCCTGGTCTCTCCTCTTCCACCCTGCCCGGCCACTAGGAATGTAATTGTCTCTGCCTCGTGCCTGATGATGGAGATTCAGCCCTTATCTCATCAAGCCGTTGGCCATCTTGCATTGCTCAACTCTGGAGCCGTTAAGGGCACAGTTCGAGGCAGACTTAGAAATAAGTCCTACAGGCAGCCGATTGGTCTGCAGGGGTGCTGAAAAGTGCAGGCCATAACTCCAGCTTAGTTAGTCCATTAGGCAGCCCTTCCCAAGGTGGAGGCCCCCAGATGTGTTGGTCTGCAACTCCCAGCATCCCCCCCTGCCCCCAGACAGCTTGCTGGCCATTGCGCTCCAGCACATTTGGAGTGTCCCACACTGGGGAAGGCTTCCCGAAGGACTTAAGCTGGGGGCTGGTTGCTTGAAATGCCTGTCTCAAGGTGGGGTGATTTAATCTCAGATTTGGCCACAATCTGCTCTATTTCTACTGGAAAAAAGCAGGTGGTTTTAGAGATGTGGCCCATTTCCACATCAAACATTGCTTATTCTAGGTAGAAAAACATGGGCTCTATCTGTGGGAAAGTATGCAGGGAATATTGGCCCTTAAGAGAGATCGTAAAGCCTGGGGTGGCTTTTTCTCTAATTGATCTTAGACAAAAACAGTGTTAAACAGTGTGCGATCTCATAAATTTGAGAATGATACTGACTTACATGCAGTCCCGCATTGGCTGTGAGGCTGGATTTTTTGATCTTGGAAAGGTGTCTGCCGAACGAGTTCGGAAGATCACTGGGAAATGATTTTCTCCCCCGCCGAAGCCAGTTGCGTGTGGCCTGACTTGCCTAATTGTCCTCGTGGCACACAGGTTGCGGTGTCCTTCAAGCTCAGCAAGGTGCACAGTGAAGGCCGGCTTCCAAACTCTTTTCGGTGATTTGGAAGCCGCCCACGCCATAACATATGGCTAAATTTAGACGGCACAGCAACCTGCGCCCCGTGAGCATAGTCAGGCAAATTGTTCAGTGTGCAGTTGGCTCACACAGGGTAGCGGGGAGAAGCCGTGGTGGTGTCTTTTCCCTGATCATGTGAACCTGGCCAGTATTTCCATGGCTTCACTACAAACCAGCAATAAGTACCTGATGAGTATTCAACCTTCTCTACTTAGAAATGACTCCCAACAATCCGAATTGCTCATTTTCAACTCCTCACATTATGTCTGCCTTGATCCTTACCTCTTATCCCTTCTCCCTCTCTGAGAAAAATCTTAAAATGGCGGCAGTGCTGGCATGGTAAACTTGGTTCAGGGCATGGCCCTTTGAGGATGGCAACTCGCCTCTTGGAAGACCAGTGGATTCCACAGATGTCAAAAAATGCATCATGGGGTGATAAGCCTGGCCTATCCCATCACCTGCTTCCCCTTTCCCAAGGTTAGGGCTGACCTGAAGGCTTCCCCTCCAAGTAAGCCTGCGCTTTGTTTGATGTAGAAGCTGAGCTGGAGTTCTGAACCTACCTGGACAAAAAAAACACGAAGCCCAGAATTTATATTTAACAAACGGCTACAAACAATCGCCATTTGAGGCTGCTGGTGGATTTTGTTAATCTACCATTCCAATGTTCAAGGATGCCTCAAGCTTGTTCAGGCTTAAGTTATCAGGAATCTACACCCCACCCTGGCGGGTAAACCTACAGGGATTTTGTGACTGAACTGACTAGCAAAAGTGATGGGATGAGACTATTTCCCATTTTTTCAGCTTCCTTTCTCCTCTCCAGTGACTAGTACTGTTATTCTTGTGGTAGAGACACCTACAAGGATTACCTTTGCAGTTGCTATAGGTTTTACTTTGTATTTCTCAGGACTTAAAGTCGCTTGCTTGCAGCAGTGATACAGATCTAGTTTGTGCTGGGCAGGTTTCTCAGACTGAGTTGTTCAGTAGCTGAAGCCTGAGTTCTGACTGAGCATGTGAAGAGAATACTATGCATGGCATGAAGTGCTTGCAATGACTATTCTGTGTCCTCCCCGAAGCAAATGTCATTGGTCTAAATTCAGAACCTTGCTTTTTGGCGAATTCTGATGGCCTACATTTTAGGCACTTCTGTGCTATGTGGTCTGGATACATGCCATTTGCAGAAGGAAGGAAGGAATCTGCAGCAGAGGGCTGTTTTCCTGATGCATCTGGAGATGACGGTTCATGGTTGCCCACGCGCAAAAGTTCAGAGACAGAGATGCTTGGCTGAAGTTGCTTGAGTATCAGGGGGCTGTTGCAATACTGTGGATAGCGATGAAATCGCAGTTAAGTTGGACTTCTGAGGTGCCCTGGTTGTGCTTGTTAGAAGCCCTTTTTTTTCTAAATGGGTACACAGGCTGCAACCTTGCCAGAGTTGAGAAGGTGGGAGCAACCAGAGAGGAGAAGTGCTGGAACCCCAGACAAGCAGTCTACACCCCAGTTTTGTTCCAAAAATCTAGCAGCTGGTAGAGTTTTGTTTTAATTAAATCTCTGACTGTTAATAAGAAAGCTTTAGGGGAGGTATTGTAACCTTTTTACAATGAGGAGCAAACTGCATCAAAGACAGGAAAAAACACCAAACTATGGGAGGTCAGTGGAAACATGATGTGGCTTGAGGAAAGAGGTGTGGCCATCCAGAAAATCTAGGGCAGGAGGGTTGGACAAGGTCCATGGGCCAAGGTTAAAGGAAATAACGGCACAGCCTACCTGGGGTCAGAGCTCTGCTCTGCCAGTTGCACGGCCAAGCAATGCCCTAGAACTGCCTTCCCCCAGCTTAGGGCCCTCCAGATGTTCTGGACCACAGTTCCACAAGTGAATGGCTAATGGTCAGGAATGCAGGGAGCTGCCGTTCAGATTATCTTAGCCTACCATGCTAATTGGGGGCAGGCTATCATTCATGCTCCTGTACAGTCCACTCCCAGGTGGTGTCTCTGGCATCCGGGGGATGGCTCTTGAACTGGCAGGAATGTTTACGATGCCTGCGCTCTTTCTCTGGTCTCGACTCTGCACTGTACGTTATCTGGCACAGAGCTGGGCAGAACGTTGGACTTGCAAAACTGGGACTCAGCAAGGTGGAGACTTGGAGTTCAACATGCAGGTCCATTTCTGCTCCTCTCCCACACCAGGTCCCTGCCCCTCCCTTGGTTTCAGCAGCTTGTTGTGGCGTGACCTGACTGGCCTCTTAGGGCAGCGGTGGGCTGAAACCCAAATGGCTTGACAAAAGCAGAAACTATGTTCCCATCCCGGTGAAAAGGGTGAAACACATGAGCCAGGGCAGTAGGGCAAGTGCTGTGTATCATTTGCCTAACAGCTGTGCAGTGTATTGCTCAATACCGTGTTTTTTCCTTTGCTTAATGTCACCAAGTGCCAGTGGCAACAGACTCCCTGTGTCCGCCTTGCAGTGCTGGGGGCAGGACGATGATGCAATTCGCCAGGTTGCTCATGGGGCAAGTATCTCTTAACCTGCTAGAAGCAGATCTACGGGGGAAGAGCAGCCAGTTGTGCAATTGCTGCTATTCTCAGTTCCTGATGAGAAGAGAGGGCAACTTTCCGCCTGGCTCAGCCATGAGGAAGAAGAAAATAACTATCCATTGGCTGGCTTTGTTTAGGCTAGAGCTGATTGTAGAGAAGTTGCATGACCTGATGAGTCAGGCACTTGGTCTTGTGTCTGAATCAGACCTGAGTATCGCCTACTCACCTAGGTTGACTCCTGCTGCCACTGAGTCAGGTGGGAGCATCATATCACAGAGAAAAGACCAGTTCTGTCCTCTTGGGAACAGCTCATCCTAAGCTCAGCTTTGGCAGGTGACCTTGTGCCCCAATTTCAGAAACTGGAGGCTCTGGCAGGGTTCAATCCCAGGTCTGCTTTGGGCATGAAAATTGAGTGGGACCATTTCCTTGCAAAAATGCAAGTCCATTCCAACAGTTCCGGTTGTTCTTGAGCCTGGATCAGCCTTACCAACCTGGTGTTCTCCAGATGTGTGGATGTGTTGATCCAGCGGTGATGGGAGTTGTTGCCCAACACATCTGAGGGCACTGAGTTAGAACAGCTGACCTAGAGGGGCCCAAAAAATCAAGGTGCATATATAATGTATTGTCAGGTCCTACTGCTATTTTCCATTTCTGATTTGTTGAACTCCTAGTGGGAACAGCAAGCAGGTGCAAATGGTTTGCATATGCTAGTTTAGTGCATGCGTCCAATGCAGCCGCTCTCTGAGCCTAAACTAAGGGTGTCCAGTGAGCTGCATAATCAGATTGGGAACTGAATCCAGGGGTTCTTCCTTCCTTGGCTCAGCAAAGTGCTTAACCAAGTGGAAACCACACATGCATTCACCAGTGTCTCTTGAGTGGCAGATCTGGACTAGAAGTCCAGACTAGTCCTGAACCATGACTCATGTGCAAAGTGCTACATTATGATCTTGACATGTTCAGGAGCTTTCGGTTTCTTCTAGTACACTGTTTGGGATTTCCTGCCAAGAAAGAAAGTTGTTTGAACTTTTATAAAGTCCTCACCTAACTCCAGGCTCAGGATGATGTAATGCCAGTCCATGCAATCCTCCTGTTCTGCCTCTCCTTCCATGAACATCCTCTTCGGAGAAGTTTGTAGTTGCCGCTGAAACTGGCCGGCTCTGGTTTGATCAAGTTCCCTCTAAACCAGGATTCTGGATCAGATTCAGACACTGGCTTGCCATCTTGATTGACGGGGACAAGCACAAAGCTGCCTTGATTAGTGCGGATAAACTGGCAGACTGAACATGGCAAAGAAGAAGTCAGCTTGTTAATCTGTGCACGTGGCACAGATCACGTCGTGCCCAGCCATGGCTTTGTGCAGCTTGTGAACCATCCTGAAGTGTGGCTGTTGATGATCTTGCTATTAATTCCCTCCGCTTGGCAGCTGTGTTATACCAGAACAAGTTCGGTCCATGTGGACGAACAGTGGTTTTGTTAGTCTGGTGCCCCCCAGAGGTGTTGGACTGCAACTCCCACCCTTCCAGGCAACATAGCACAGGGCTGGGAATGAACTGGAGGACAATAACTGGCTGACTGGAGCTTTTGCCAGGGCTTAGATATGGATTGGATATGAATTGGAGAGAGCTCATTTGACCTACACTTCCTCTCCCAAGTGCATATCACAGGAATACAGCTGTCAGTACCAATATGGACAAAGGCTTCTGTCAGTTTTCAAAGTCAGCTTAGAAAATGCAGCCTGGTTTGACTTCCTGTGCCTAATGAGCATCTCCCACCTAGGCAGCTTTTAACAAGAGCTGGCTGGGCTTGGAGCTGGTTGCCTAGGCTGGGGATTGAAACTCCTCCTCCTCATAAGAAGGCTCCATGAATTGGAGCTTGGAAAAGAAAACCTTGTTACAATTTGCCGGAAGGGCTTTTCCCCTAATATTTAACCCCAAAGATGGGGAGGTGGGGTGGTAACGGAACAAGTTGCAGACTCCCGGTTTGCTGGAAAAAACAGACTGTGTAACTGCAAGAACTAATCCCCAGAGTGACAAGGGAAAACCGGCTTGGCAAGGGAGTTCATGGACAGCTAGCGAGCTCCCTTTGTTTATGAGTTTTTTCAAAGTCTCAAGATCAGATGTCTCCTAAGGCTGTTCTTGTGCTGTTCAGTATGTGTCCGGGGTTTGCTCCACATTGGAGTTTTGCTGGATCAGGCCAAGATCCCCCCCCCCCACACCAGTTGGTAACTGGCCAATGAAGCCCTTCTCAGGAGCTGACAAGCAGGGTTGAATGCAGCAGCCATCTCCTGTTTGATGAAGCTGTTTTCCGTGCATCACTCTAATCCAGTGATTTCCCATACATGGGGCCCACAATGATGTCTGATTACCACTCCTGTCATCAACCTTTAGCCAAGCTGACCTAAAATGATAGGAGTTTTATTCAGATAACACCTGGGGCCCAAGGTTGGGAGAAGCTGGTGTAATCCTTATAAACTAGCTAAACTTGTGATCTTCAGCATATTTGGGGGGGAATAGTCATTCCTTCCTTAATTCAGGGTAGAAAAACTACTATCCTGGTCTCTAAATCTGCCCCATGGAGTTTCCCCAGATGGCCTCATCCTCTTTCCCTCATCCACCAAATATTTTGGTGGTTTCCCAATTTCTGTGCATTTCCACTCAATTCTGAAAGGTTGCAATGCCTTGCCTAATAGGGCTTCGGTATTGACAGGAACTTAAAGCTAAAATATGCTGGTGTTTTGGCTGGTTTTGCTCAATGCCTTTTTACCATGAGCCCCACCCCCTTTACCTCCCCACCACCGCCAGTGGAATGCACCCTGCAAGAGCATCTCCTACACTGAACTCAACCCTTGGCCTGAAAGAGGTTTCCCACCCTTGCCCTAAGCTTGGTATTGCATGGAGAAACGTGTAGGCAGTCATTCAGCTAACTCACTGGATGATTACAAATGTAAGATAGGCTTCCCTCCTTGCACTGATACCAAGGTGTGAAAATATTATATGATGATGACAACGACAGTGATGATTATACTACCTGTATCAGAAGGGCAGTTTACAACAATAATCAAGGGATCACACATTCATTCAAGTCACCCATCCAGACTCTAACCAGGCCTGACCTTGCTTAGCTTCCAAGATTATGAAGGATCAAGCATTTCAAGCCATTTGGAAGGTGTAGACATATTGAAAATAGTATCTCTGGCAATGAACTATTAAGGGCAACATTTCTTCATAATGCATCAAATAAGTACAATAATCTATACTGTCCTCTCCTACTGTCTCTCCTACTGTCTCTCTGTCCAGGTTTGCCTACATTCAGTCATGACCTCTGCTGGTTTCCAGATCATGGGCATGGCCCTCTCTGTGTTGGGCTGGATTGGAGCCATCATCACCTGTGCCCTGCCCATGTGGAAGGTCACGGCCTTCATTGGCAACAATATCGTGACTGCTCAAATCACCTGGGAGGGGCTGTGGATGAGCTGCGTTGTGCAGAGCACCGGCCAGATGCAGTGCAAGGTCTATGACTCCATGCTGGCCCTGCCCCAGGATATACAAACGGCCCGGGCTCTCATGGTCATCTCGGTGCTTCTCGCTCTCCTGGCCCTGATGATCGGCATTGTGGGCGCCAAGTGCACCAACTGTGTGGAGGATGAAGACGTCAAGGCCAAGATCATCATAGTCGCTGGCGCCACCTTTGTGGTCGCGGGAGTCCTTTGCCTCATCCCCGTCTGCTGGTCAGCCAACACCATCATCCGCGAATTCTACAGCCCACTGGTGGTTGAAGCCCAGAAGAGAGAGCTGGGAGGGGCCCTCTACCTCGGTTGGGCAGCTGCAGCCCTGCTGATCCTTGGAGGGGCGCTGCTCTGCTGCAACTGCCCCAAGAAGGAGAGCAACAACTACAGTGCCCGATACACAGCCGCGGCCTCACAACCCCGCAGCGATTACCCCAGCAAGAACTACGTGTAGGACAGCCACGCCAGGAGTGAAAGTGTCATCCTGAACGCTCACTGCAGTTGAGTCCCCCTGGGTGAGCAGGGCTGCCTCCCTTCCGGGGCACCATGCCACCAATGCCCCCCTTCAGAGCAGAACATCCTCCTGTCCCAGGACTTGCAAAGTTTTTGGACCATCAGTATTTCCTCTCACTCTAACTGTACCCATTGCATAGAGGTCATTCCCCACAGAAGTTGGAACTCTTCTTTTGGAGAAATCTTTGACTTGTGATCAGTGTCGTCTATGTAGGTAGATATGGTACCGGATCTCAGACGTCCTCTTCTCAAGCGGTTTATGCTAGTTGTGTGTTACAATCTTGTCCTTCCTGGATTCTCAACCTGGAAGGCCCAAGGAGGGACTGATACTTGCCCTGCCCTGAAGATCAAGTCCCGTTGGACAGGTGCTCCACTGGGATGAGGGGTGAGGGGGCCGGGGCACTCTGAACCTGAAGTCATTCAAGCTGTGATAAGGCTGTACAACTCTGTTTTGTGAACAAAGGGGAATGTGGCTTTTTAGACTCTATATTTTAATTGTGCTAACTTGTCCCAATTGACCTTGCATGCATTTCATACTGGATGCCAGTTATTTCCCTTCCTTTTTTTTAGTATGACCTGAATAAAGATTACAGGCTTTTGTATATAGTAATTGGTCTTGTTTTTGTTACTGGAAGTGGGGCAGCAGCTGAGAGCAGCAACATGGTCGATGGTGACATTCGATGGTCCGTGATGCAGCCAGGTGATGTGGGTGGACTTGAGTGGTCTTGGCCATCTAGGCTATTTCCGTGCTGAAAGTAACTTCTCTCACCCCACCTGCCATGCCATGCTTTAACTCTTGCTTTTCTACTGATACAGGTAGAGCAAAAGCAGGGGGTGGGGGGTATCCTCAAATAAAATACTCTGAACACATGCAGTTTTACATTTTATTGTCCTTTAAGTCCTTACACTCTCATGATTCCAGGAATAAAGTGAAGTACTTTTTCTCCTGCCTTGATGCTAAACATAATTATTTGGGAAAAGTACCATTCTGTGGATAATCTATGTGTCCAGTAAACACAATTGGATGAGATGCTCTAACCAGGTGCATGCCAGGCCAGCTATTCCCTGACCATAAAAAGAAATTTTTAAAAATCCAAGGAAGGATGCTGGACTGATTGGTGTTGGCCACAGTGTTCGTACCAAGGCCAGGTGTGGTTGGCATTGTTTGTTGTTGCTCAGGGGTGGTCTTGGAGGGGTTGTCCGTCTGCAACAGCTTCCCATATCTCATGCCTTCAGAGCAGGTACACCCCAGCATGCCTGAGAATTAGTCATACCTGGAGAAAGTGACTCCCTTGAAATTTGAAAGGAACTATGAGCTTCAAGGCTGAGCAAGGATTGGGATTGGGCTTCCGCCTAGTGTATAGTTAGCTATACCTGCTTTCCCAGCACCAACCAGCATGTCCCAATGCTTAGGCATGAAGAAAAATAGATGGAGGGAATTCTACTTCAGACAAGTCCCAAGGCTGAAGACAGTGGCTGCAAACGAGGCCAAAGCTTGGCTCAATGGAAGTGCCTGAAGAAATCAAGGTCCAAGATACTCTGCAGTGCTTCCCAGACAATCTTGAATGGTGACTTCACTGTTTCATAGAATTACACACACATCCCCTACCATGGAGTTTTAGAAATGGTTAGCTTATACGTGTATGTTTAGATGGAGAGGGACACCTACTCCCCAATATCGCATAAGCTCACTTGTGACCTGAAGGACCTTTAGCTTCAGCTGAAGCCTCTGGAGGGTGTTTGGATCTACACAACACAACTCACTCCATGCTATAGCTATTTTGGAAGTTCTGAAAAGGAAATGTGCCCAGAAGATGGGGTGATTAAATGCAGAAACCATTTGTTTCTGAGATCCTGTAATGTGGGAAGCATGATTCCTTAAAGCAAATTGGTTTTAAGTCACAAGAGAATTGGACAGTACCCAGAGATGGGAGATGTAACAAATGAAAGCAATGGTGATGTTTATCCAAAGTGCAGTGGTGTGGTAGGACTGACTGCAAATGAAGATTTCTAGCAGAAATAGCAAATGGGGAACAAAAATGACTCCCAGTTCAATGGAAGCAAAAAGTCCTACAGGCCGCAAATGAACATATGGCACATTAAGAAGTGGGCTTCATCTAAGCTCACACGTATAAGCTAAATAATTAAGCTCTTTTGAGGAAGGAATTTTGTAGGACACTAAGTCACCATTCAAACATCTTAAAAGAAGCCAAGCATTCTGTACAGTTTATACAGTAACATCTTTAACTACTGTAAACTGTCTTGAGATTCTTTTGATAATTGACGGTATAGGAAAGCCTTAAACAAACAAATAAATAAATGATATTTCAGTACTGAGGTCTAGGAACTTGATTTCTTAAGGCCCTTGTTTTCAGTTACTGGCCTTCATCCTAAGACCTGTCCAGAGGAGCACTCTGTTTATTTTGTCAGGTGTCAAATATTCAGGTTCCACCACTTTCCTTTTCCCCTACTCATCTGTAGCTAAGCACTACTGAAGCATGAAACAAGATTCTTTACAGGAAAGGAGGAGAGATTTGTAAAGAGATAACAGGTTTCAACTAGCCTGAACCCTGACTTTCTGGGAAATCCACAAACGGCCTGGAGACTACAGCCCTTCTGTTGCTGTCCCACAAGATAGGGTTCTCTGAGGTAGCATACCCCTGAATGTGGATGTTCCGTTTGAGGATAATGGCTTATGGTGACTTCATAGGAAGGAATGGAGCATTTTTATTTTACTTTCTTTTTATTTGTTTGTTTATTTGCGGACTATCACCTTTGGGTTCCGCAAGGAGCTAGCATCCCTCTAAAGTAGAAAACATTGCTGAAAATGAAAAGGTTGGTAATGATGAAAAGAAAGAACTTGGTACATGTTCAAAGATGCCTTTAACATCTTCCAGGACGAGTTTCGCCACTGAAGCTCGTCAGGACTTGTCCAAAGCATCTTATCCAGTGCACATTTCTGGCAGAGATTACTTTGCAGATTATGGCTGGGGAGCAATTCTAGCTGGGAGGTAGGAAAGGACGGTGAGTGACTGTTGCCCCAAGGAAGGATGCAAGTCAATAACAGAACCTGCGTCAAGGTCACAGGAATCCATAGCTAGGGGGGCAGAACTTCCTCCTCACAAAAATTCAGTCTCTGTCTCAACACATGCAGGTTGGAGGTGTTCAGACCACTCACCCAAGCAGGGTCTTCAGCTCACAACAGCGTCAGAGCACCGCGGTGGGGTGGGAGACATGTTAGGGGTGGCTGGAAAGAGCAAAGGACGAATACTGAAATAGAGCAGAAACATGATTTGGGGAAGGAGTTTTGTTACAGACACAACACACATGCATGGACCCACAACCGAACGTGGAGCTGTGGCAGTCAAGTGCCCCTGTTGGGCATTCCAGCCAGCCAGCCAGCCAGCCAGCCAGCCAGCCGTACCCTCTTCCATCATACGCCATTCCACCCACCCCTGCGGCAGTCAGTGCTCTGTGCCCACTAAGCCTGCTCAGTAAAAGTCTGGGGAGTATCATACAGGTTTTGTTTTGAAAGATTTTTGTCTTCCTGCCCACTACCGGGTTCCTTGGAACATCTCGATGCCTCCCTCTTCTTCCTCCATGGACCCATCTTGTCTGCATGGCCACAGGCATTCATCTTCTTAGTTTTGGGAGGAGGGGGCATCTTCTGCAGCTATTATTTGGCGGTTCATAGCTTAGCAGAAGATTACAGGCACTAAGACAGAACTTGGTGTTGGGGTGCAGGGATGCAAGATGGCACCAGGTCTGGAGGATGGGTGCACAGCTCTCGACAGCTCTTCCCCGCTGCCTCCTTGCAGAGAGCCGTCCACCCTGCCACTCCCAGGGCCCTGTTCCAGCCCCTGCTCTCCAGCCCACCTCATGCCAATCTTGCCGGTGGAGACTTTATCTCATGCCAGGGGCCCGGCTTCTGGCTGTGGAAGGCTCAGCCTGGCACTGGAATGTACTGGTACCCCTCCAAGAAACCAGGCAGAGATCTCGCTCTACAGGGGTCAACTGCTGGGCCCACATCCAAGAAACCTGGAGGGGGACGGGGGAGGAATACTGTAAGTTCACACTCCTGTGTGCTTGTTGGAAACAGAAGACCGCTGAGTGGGTTGTTCTCCACATTGCCAAGAATAGGCTGCAGCTCTATTTCCTCAAAAGTACATTCTTCTTCTCTCTCTCTCTCTCTCTCTCTCTCTCTCTCTCTCTCTCTCTCTCTCTGTATATGTGCGTGTGTGTGAAAAGGGGATTGGCAGAAAAGGGGAACTCCCTCACTGATGCTTGTCACCAAATCTGCTTATTTCTTGCACTATTGCTCAACAGCCAAAGCTCACAGGGCAGTCTACAACTGACAAAATACAAGAAAATGTGATATCAAATAAGTAACGTAAAAATATTGTAACATTTCACTGGAATTTTAAAACCAAATGTTAACAACTGAACACCTAAAGCAGGTTCATACAGTTCTGCCTGCTGAAAACAGCTAAGCATCTCCTCCCCTCCCGATGTTATTGGGAGATTTTAAATGCTTCAGCACAGGGGGCAGTACGACTCTAACATTTCCTGCTTGTTTAGCACAATAATTTTTAATTCTTATTTCACCACTGGAATTAATGTGTTAGTGTGGGAAACTAATGGTTACCTTTTTTGCTGTTTGTTTAAGTTCTTCAAATGGCTTAATTACTGTTGAGTCCACACACCCCAACAGATGAATTAAATGATTCCCCTTCATTAAGAACATCTAAGGGATTCGCACCTCCTGTGCTTTCAAAGGATAATCTCTCATCTCAGATTAAATTTGTAGGTACTTCCAGATGGAGGGGTCCAAGTGCTGACAATCAGAAGACATCATGCAATTATTCCCTCCTTTCTTAACAGATTTTCTGTGGTAATGGATAGAATGAAGTGTTGAAAGTGGAAGATGCTGTCATCCAATTTTTCCATAAACTTCATGAATGCGCTTAGGGTGATGAAACAATAAAAGCTTTGCTTGGAAGCATCCTTGATTTTAAGAAAAGTTTCTACACTGAACTGTACTTGGGGTAACTTGGAGTGAATTTACACATGGAAAATCTGTGAACGACATTCATCTCTGGGCTCAAAATTTCTTCTAGGTGTCTACATACATGTCTTTCGCAGAAGGTTCCTGCTGGCAGAACTTGGGGTTCCAATCACAAACAAAGTAGGTCCCACAAAACTGCCCTACAGAGAATATACAGTGAAAATACCCAATGCTCTTTCATAAGCACTTAATTTCAGGTACTGGATTTAAACTTATCTCATTACACAATTTTATTCTGGATGGGTTTCCTCTGCACTGGGTAGTGCCGGGGTGTGAGTAGAATGAGACCAGAGTCTTCACTCTCCTTTCTCCTCATTTCAGGGCAATGTCTGGAATTCTCCGAAGGGATGCTGAAGAGTCTTGTGGAATTTGCAAGCTACCCCCAGAAGTCTTCTTCCCCTTTGGTAACTCCGAATGGGGGATCAAAGAGAGCGTTGCTCAGCATGCAGTGAGTGGCGAGAGACACGCTTTAGTCCTAATTGTTGTGCTAAGGCCCACGGCACCTCCACAAGTTCGGGGCACCTCCACAGCCGAGCCCACTGCCTCCAGGTGCCTTTTGGATGCGCTGACCCGCAACTCCTGTCTTTCTCAGCCAGCATGCCCATGGGTCTGGCTCAGTGTCTAAAGGGACCCCTCCCTGCATGGCCACTCACATTTCCTAAAACACCAGCCTCTCTCCTTAGGGGGTTTGAACAACACAAGCCACGCCAGAGGATAAGCCGTGCCAAGTGGCTTGTTTGCCACAGATCTGGCAACGTGCCCAACACATGATCAGGCACTCTGGGGCTGCACAGCCGCTGCCGTCCTGCCTGGTCCACCCCACCCGCCCATCGCAGGGGACACCAGGGAAGACCCAGCGCCCCACATTCCCCGGGAGCACTCTGCAACAGTGCAGGAAAGGCCGGGGACAGGGAGGCGCCGAGTGCTTCAGCCTGCTCCCAGGTAGCCTTGCCACCGCACATTGCCCACGGGGCCGGCCACAGCGGCTCAAAGCAACAGGCCAGCAACCTTCCGGCTGGATCCAAGCTCTAGCGGAGGCCAAGCGAACACGCCCCCCTCTGCACCCCGACCCCCGTGGCAATGACAAGCAGCAGGGGGCTGCCTGCGCGCCGGCTGGCAAGAGCAGCAGGGCGGCTGTTCGTGCTTTTTGCTGCTCTTGCATGCCCGGTGATCACATGCCGAAGCGCCTCCGCATCCGGTTGGTGAGGAGCCAGTGCCAACAGGGCAGGTTCAGGTGCAAGCGCGCTCGCCCTCCTGGCGTCAGGAGGAGCTCGGGGCGGTGCTGCCGGCGCCTGCCGTGCGCCAGCCCCTCAAGTCCTGTTGATGGTCAGGGCACCTGCACAAGCCCCAGGCAGGGCTGGAGGGAGCGTATGCCCTCGGCGAGGAAGCGATGGCAGCTGCCCTCAGTGTCAGGTGGGCTCTGTGCAGACTGTGTCACATCCACAGCGTTGCTTGGCAAACACGCCCAAGGAGCTTGCTCAGAGGTTGCTACTCTTGCCAAATGGATCACCTTCCTCCCGGTGGATTGCGATGTCTCGGTTCAGATGACCAGGCAAGCCATTATGGGGCTAGCAAACCCTACAACAAGCCATGGCTTAGAAGCCAGACATATTCCATCCTGACAAAACCATCCCAGGTTCACACAACACATGAAGCCACTGTGGCTTCAATGCCTGAGCAGAGTTGCTGGTCTATTTTCTGCCTAAATTTGCATACGATTGTATCTTCAGTTTCTGTTGTTTTAAATAAGCAACCGTATCTTAAACCTTTGCATTGATGCTTACTTTGCTTCAGAATACATCTACTGCATTCTATAGTTTGAAAATGTAAAGTGTCCCATATGCAGCTTTAACCATTGTGAACTGCCCACAGAAGCTTTGTAGAAGTGTATTAATTATAAATAAATAAATGGCAAGCTTGAGTTCTTCCAACTGCTGCATTACTGCTTCCCTTTTCGTTCCCCAGTACTCAGTTTCTCGTCCATTAAAGCCTATGGCATGTGCTTATTTGTTTAGGCTTTGAAGTGCCACAAGATTGTTTGCTGGTTGTCCCCATTCCACTTACACACGCTGCCCTCGCTCTTACACTCCATACCGTTCTTCCTACACACCCATTCCCAAGTGTGCATTTTCTATGCATTCCTACGAAGCCCTTCTGGAAACCCTTGTGGCACATTTTGCCATCCCAGAACAGTCTCTTCGATTTGGTGCCTGCCCACCGGAATACTTCATGTGGGCAAGTCCCCTAAAATCATGCAAGGTCTAAGAGCAGTTTCTCCCTTGCTTTTCCACCTGCAGCCTGGCTGAAAAGAAGGCTGCCTCTGAGCATGCCTGGAGTGCCTTTCACGCATCACTGAGTAACTGCCAGCCTGTTCCAATGGATGCAGGATTAGGAGCAGAGCTTCGGACTCAAAAAAGAAACAGCTGCAAGGCAGTTGTGAGCCCCAACACCTCTGCCGTTGTCCTAGGCCAATGATCCACTTGCTTTCTAATGTGCTCGCACACATGCTTTCCTGCACACTCAGTGCTGTGTTCAAAGCTGGGGCTTAGTTGCTGACCCTCTTTAGAATGTACAAGGCACGAGAGTGCTCCTGAGCTAATGCAAGGTGCCTTTCCTGAAAAATTAGAACAAGGCTACAGAACTGGGATTAAAAAGCAAGGGCTGTTTTGCCGGCCTGTGTGAGATCCAACAATCTCGATGCCCCCAGCATCAGTCTTGTTAGGAATAGTTGGACGTTTAACATCACCCCTCAACCCTACCCCACACACCTTGGTCCCGCACCCTCTGTCAACTTTTGATCATTAGCAGAGAGGTTCGCCTGGCACCAACATTATATTCTTTACTGCGTCGGGCAAACCCCTTTTTATTTTCCTGCTGTTTTAATGTTTAATTGATTTTAATTGGGGTTTTAGTATATTAATGGTCGGATGCTGTGCGGTTTGTTTTATTCTACTTATTTATTGTAAGCCGTCCCCAGACGTTTGTAGGGGACGGGATAGAAAAGCTTTTAATAAATAAAAAATAAAATAAATAGCCATCCTCTCCTTCAAAAGTCCCTTCTCCCCATCCCAAAAAAGGAGGCTGAGACATCGAGGTTACAAACATTTCTCTTCTTTATCCAAATAATACAGTTGCCAGTAACACCACAAGAGTTCTAAATTGCAGGAAAGATCCCCTGCCATGCCTTCTTGCCCAAGGGAACAGAAATTGCCTCTGGATATTCAGAAGAAAAAAAGGGCGGAGGGAGGGAGGGAGAATCTGCAGCACTTCCCACCACACCTGCACCCCAAAACCAGAGGGGACCAGGAGCTAGAACACTGAGCTCTTCCATTCACAACTTTATGAGGGCAGTGAGGCCTAATGCCTTTGGGTGGGTGAGGGGACGGGTTGCCTTTGAGTACCGTCTAAGAGTAGATGGGTAAAGAGCAATCCCGGAGAACAACAGCCCCCTGTGTTTGTCCAGGCCCTTGGGAATAACCAAAACCTTGACAAATTATTAACCAGCAAACACACAGTGTCCGCTGAAAGCAAAACAGGGTCAGGGTCTCTTGCCACGTCTCCCCCATCCCCTGCTACGTTCCCCCACCGGCCTTGTGGCTAAGTCCAAATGGGCGCCTTCCTCAAAATTCATTCATCCCCCAAGTTTTGGCTTGGTTTGCCTGTTCAGTCCCTTTCTTCTTGAATCAATTCCTTTTACACACATGTGTGCACACACGCACACACGCGTGCGCACACACCACTCTTTCATCCCCTCATTCAGTCAGAAAAGTACCTGTTCCTTCATTTTTATAATAATTCCCTTGTTCTTCTGCTCTCCATTTCTCCTCCCTCCCTTTCATTCTAGCCACAACCAAACTCCTCACATCCATTTGATTCTAGAGTAAAACTGTTAATACATCAGCCAGATCTTAATGTTAGTTTCCTGTTTTCTCCCATACTTAACCTGCCTGCCCCACTGGTCCGTTCTTGCTTTTGTTCATGAATCTCCATCTGCGCTCGTTCGTCTGTCCGGCTATTTTCCACATGCGGTGGCTCGCTTAGCCATTAACTCGTCATCTACTTATCCTGCTTTTCTCTTCTCGTTTCTCAGCCTCCTCACTTCGATTGCGGCATTCCAGTTGTGTTTGCCACGGCACTCGCCTCTTTCATAACTATTTGTTCATCCTCTCACATGCCCCTTTATTTGTTCATGTTCTCCCAAGCTGCCCCTTGTACGCAGCCTCACACATGCACTGGCTCACATGCAGATACACTCACACATTCCAGAACTGCCAGGTAGCGCAGCTCAACCCCGACGGGTTGGCATTGCCCCATTATTTCAACCGTGGAAAGTCTCTGGGCCAATGACATCTGTCTGGGCTTGGGCCTGGCAACTGCTGGCAAGTCCACCCAGAGGCACGGCCACTGCCTTAGACGTAGTCCCGTTTGTCGAGCGCACTGCCTGGGGGCGCACTGGACCGGGCTGGAACGGAGTACCCAATGCGGGCAGGGTAGCGGTCCTCGCGCGGGGGGCAGGAGCAGCACAGGAGTGACCCCCCAAGGAGCAGCAAGGCAGAGGCCGCCCAGCCGACGTAGAGAGCGGCCCCGAGCTCCCTCTTGAGGGGCTCAATCACCATCGGGTTGTAAAAGTCGCGGATGATGGAGTTGGCCGTCCAGCAGATGGGAATGAGGGCGAGGATTCCCGAGATGATGAAGAGGGAGCCGGAGGTGATGACGATGCGGGCCTTGGCGCCTTCGTCCTCCACGCAGTTCGTGCACTTGGCCCCCACAATGCCCACCAGGAGGGCTATGACGGCCAGCAGCACAGAGACGACCATGAGGGCTCGGGCGGCTTGGATGTCCTGCGGCAGGGCCAGCATGGAGTCGTAGACCTTGCACTGCATCTGGCCCGTGCTCTGCACAATGCAGTTCATCCACAGCCCCTCCCAGATGATCTGCGCCACGACGATGTTGTTTCCAATGAAAGCCGAGACCCTCCACATAGGCAGGGCACATGCCAGGATGGCCCCCTTCCAGCCCATGATGCACAGGCTCATGGCAAAGATCTCCAGCCCGGCAGAGGCCATGGCAGCTGCCCACAGAGCGTCTCAGGTTCTTCCACCTCCCTCTGGAAGGGACAGGGAGCACAGCTTATGGGCAGAAACGCCCAAGACTGGCTTTCCCTTCTGGAAGCGGTTGCAGGCGAGAATCGAAAGCAGGCACGCTGCAGATGGAGGGATGGAGCAACAGGAGCCAAGGAATATCTCCGATGTTCATAGGGTAAAGTTTGGCAGGAAATCCCAGCTGTGCAAGATGCCCAGGATAAATTATTCTTCTGGGAGCTCCTCTGAAGAACCGAGTCTCTTTATGGGGCACGCAATACAGGTTCTTGTGTTTCCTGCAAAAACCGAAAAGTCCGCCCAGAAGATGGGAGTCTACAGCATCCAAGAAATGGACTAGGATGTGGCGTTCAAGCAGGGATTCCTGTCTGGAAGGTGTCACTTTCTAAGCTTGGCTGGAGACAGGATGGACCCCGGGCAGACAGGTGTCGATCAGAGCATCAGAGAAAGGCCTACAGAAAGCTGACTGTGGGAGATGGAAAAATCCCCTGCTTTCTCTTCTCCCGGGCTCCGACGGGCTGTTTGTTATTGAATTATTCGCCTTCTCAGGTACCTGCTGTTGTCTAGAAGGATCCCGTGGGAGCCCGTCCGTCGGGGCGGGTTATATGAGTCCCCAACAGGTGGCTGGGAGGGGCAGAGACACCAAGGCGAGACGGACATTGGGGGATCCATGGTAACCACGGACTGGGTGGTGGTGTTGAGGAGAGAGTTTGAATATTTCTTTATTTTCTGTTGGCTAGTTGGGAAGCTGCCCGATCTAGAGGAGAAAGGCAGAGAAGGGGGAGAGGGAGAGGGAGAGGCCGAGAAAAACAAGGCAGGGTGGAGAGGGGAAGGGAGGGAGTGGGAGAGCAGGAGAAAGCGAGGGAGAGATACAGGGAGTTCCAGGGGCTGAATTCCTCGAGCAGAGAGGCATGGAGCAGTGGAATCTCTTAGACAGCCGGCCAACGTGACGGCCACTTCCACAGCGAGACCAGAAATGCCTCCTGCATGGTATTTGCACTTAATGGAAGAGCAAACGGATGGAACGGGGGCCAAGTACCGTGCGGGCGTGCGCACACGTACCCAGCATCCTTCCCGTTGCACAAAAGCTGCTCCTGCTAGCAGGGGTGGGGCAGGTGAATAACGATAGGAAAATAAGCACTCCAGAGCCAGCTCTTTGTAGCAGGTGGACTGGGACCGGCGCACCCGAGTTCAAATTTGAGCACAGCTGCAAAAAGAACAGACCTGGTTCACCTGATCAACATCGGCTAAACAAGTTGCCATACAAGCAGGGTGCAATTCACATAAGCACCTGCTCCACTGCACTTTATCGTGTCATTTGAACTTGGGAGAAACAACCCTCAAATAATTCAAAATCCCAGGATTATCTGAGGGTCATTTCCCCATCCAATAAGCTATGCTGCCCGTGTTCTGACAACACGTGGGGCAAACGATTGTGCAAATAGCACCCAGCACGTGTCCCATGATGGCTTGTTTGGGGGGGGGGTCAAGTTTGTGACACTTTCATGATTAACATTTATTATAGCATAAATTTTAATTGACTAGAGCTCGTTTTATCAAGTGCATAAAGCATTTTTCTGGTTTATGGATTATGGAAATAAACACTGCAGGGTAAGAAGGGAATAAAATTCAGAAAGTATAGAAAGTCACAATTATATTCTTCTGCCTTTTGCTCCATGCAAAGTGCCACAAAAGCTTATGCCAGAATAAATTTGTTGGTGTTAATGGGGCCACAAAACTCTCTGTTGTTTTGGATGCAGAAAGCTAACATACAGTAGATATTATTCTGGCTATTTTAAGAATTACTTTAGTTTGTATCCCAAGGTATGATTTCTGGTTAGACAGGCAAGCTATTCCTATAATACACCTCAAAGATAATGAGCATTGGAATACATAATGTGGAAAGAACATGCTAGAAGTCCAATCCAACTGGATGTGGTGGTGATCGCCATAGGTCTCTCAGGATGGGTTTCATCTCTGCAAAAATTCCTTTTTTAATTTTTTAAAGAACAAAATAGAATAAAACATATTTTGGAGGGTATATGCAGTATACAAAATTCACGAAAAACAGTTTATTGCTGCACATTGGTATTAAAGGGGAGTCCAAAGTCAAAAGAGATTGGAAGACTATCCCTTTGGCGCAGGAATGGGCACCTTTTAGACTTACAGGGTCTACCTTCTTATTTTCAGAAGCCAAGTGTGCTATACAAACTGGAAGGTCTGAGGGAACCTACATAAAATTAAGGAAAAGGTTGACTCTCAGTCTATATGCTGAGCCCAGGAATTTTTGATCAGTACCAGAACCCAATTCTCCAGTCCTGTCCCACAAAAATCATTCATGGTTTTCTTCCAAGCATTCTATTTCAGCAACCTACTTTTGGAAGAGAAAGGCTTTGCTGGAGTCAGAAAGCATTGCTGATTCCTTTAAACAACCCGGAATGTCTCCCAATAGACCTAGAATCTCCTTCTGCCCATCCCAGCTTTGGAGGATTCCCAGGGTTGTACACATATTTTGCCCCAGTAATCCTTACTGCTTCTACTATAACCCTGCATGGGAGGTTCACATTATTTTCCCCATATGGGTGGGAAGGGAGAGAAGCTAGGTTGGGAAATCGTGGCTGAAGCCAACTACTGAGTTTGTGGCAGAAGAAAGATCTGAGCCATGGACCTTCTGGGTTGCAGGCTCTGAAAATCCACCTCAGCAGTTCTCCTCCTCCTCTTTCCCATCCTTTCTCGGTGACGTGCTACATCTCTGCCCTTCCCTCTTAGCACTGCTTTGCCCAGTCCAGAGCAAGGGGCAGGCAAACAAGCAGGCTGCACTGGTGAGAAGGAACAGCTGACAGGGGCTCTTGCCAATTGGCCCCTTGGCAGGGGCCCGACTACACTTACCCTAGATGCAGGCCATACGTAGGGCCAAACTAAGCAGGACATGAGAGGCTCGTGACTGAATAGCGGAATGTTTTTATTCTTCGATTAAACACCATTGTGCCGGGCTGTAGGGAGGCTGGGTTAGGTCTGTAGCACTAGGGGAGTTGGCGTTTGCTTAACGATTTTCTCCTGTGCTATTTGCCCATCATAAAATCCACCCAAAGTGGCAAATTTGCTCTCCCATTTGGGGAGAGAGAATTCCTTCTCTAGCATAGTTTGGCCCCAAGTTAATATACTCGTGAAGTCAGGACTATACCAGCTTACCAAGTAAACAGTCCCATCCACAGGATGTTGTATATATCATAATGCCAGCCTGGGGCAGTCAAGTTAAAAGGTGAGGGACATCTAATCAGATGTTTCTGCCTCCAAGTCAAAACTAATCATGTCGCCAAAATCAGATAAAAAAGGAACTGAGCACACACACAAGTCTGAAATGACTTGATAAGGTGGCAACCACAACAGATAAGGATTTTTTTTTTATTGCCTATTCTTCTAACACAGCACTTAGTCTAGCAGAGGTGTTGCCTTCTGACCTAGAGCAGGCATTTCTTCTCTTCTAGAACAAGAGAGCAGGGCAGGAAGAGCTGCCCACTTCCAAGCCACAGCGGGCTGGGCCAGCCCAGGCAGCTGTCCAAGGCATGGGCCTTCTCGAGGTACATCAGAGAAGGGAATTCTGGGAGGAGGCAATATGGCACCCCCCCCCAAATCCAGTGGTTAGTAATTGTAGGAATCTTAGACCAAAACATCTGGAGGGCCACAGCTGCCTAGACCTGTGCACTCTCTTGGTGAATTACTCCAGCTGTTGCAGAACAAGACCACCACTCCATGTTCTGGCGTAGAGGCCTGGCTCAGAAAAAGGCCTAGCAGGTCAAAAAAGATCGGATATGACCAGTGCTGCCTTGTAGAGTTAGACAGGCTCGTTCTCTTGGAGCCCACTGGGTAGCTCTTTTTGAAAACCAACACGCCAGGGATCAATCTTGCTCCGTTATATCCTCTAACCGGGACCACCTATCACACTTCCTCCATGCGTTCTGTGTGCCAGTGTCGTCACTCAGTGCTTCAGGAACAACATTTTGCACACCTGTTCAAGTATGATGAACGTTCATCTTGGGGGTGTAAGCACTGTCACAGAAAACAGGTTTGGGGGCCACGTTCCTGCCTCTTATTGGGTTTGTGGTCACCCCTTTGCCCTGGAAGTCTTGACCCCATATGTACTGCATCCGGCTATGTCTGTTCAGTGGTGAGAGAAAGGTGCTCTGTACATGCTCTGAGGCATTTTTCTATATTTGTAGTCCATCATGTTTTCTAAACCATTTATATTCTAACTCTCTTTATGAGTCAGCTTATAACATCAGCTATAAAAACAGACTTATTTACAGTATATCACAGAAGTGAGTACACCCCTCACATTTTGTAAATATTTTATTATATCTTTTCATGTGACAACCCTGAAGAAATGACACTTTGCTACAATGTAAAGTAGTAAGTATACAGCTTGTATAACAGTGTAAATTGTATAAACAGTGTAACAGTGTCCCCTCAAAATAACAACACACAGCCATTAATGTCTAAACTGCTGGCAACAAAAGTGAGTACACCCCTAAGTGAAACTGTCCAAATGGGGCATTATTAGCCATTTTCCTGCCCCGGTGTCATGTGACTTGTTAGTGTTACAAGGTCTCAGGTGTGAATGGGGAGCAGGTGTGTTAAATTTGATGTTATCACTCTCACTCTCTCATACTGGTCACTGGAAGTTCAACATGGCACCTCATGGCAAAGAACTCTCTGAGGATCTGAAAAAAAGAACTGCTGCTCTGCATAAGATGGCCTAGGCTATAAGAAGACTGCCAAGCCCCTGAAACTGAGCTGCAGCATGGTGGCCAAGACCATACAGCGGTTTAACAGGACAGGTTCCACTCAGAACAGGCCTTGCCATGGTCGACCGAAGAAGCTGAGTGCACGTGCTCAGCATCATATCCAGAGGTTGGCTTTGGGAAATAGACATATGAGTGCTGCCAGCATTGTTGCAGAGGTTGAAGGGGTGGTGGGTCAGCCTGTCAGTGCTCAGACCATACACCGCACACTGCATCAAATTGGTCTGCAGGGCTGTCGTCCCAAAAGGAAGCCTCTTCTAAAGATGATGCACAAGAAAGCCCACAAACAGTTTGCTGAAGACAAGCAGACTAAGGACATGGTTCCACTAATCCATGTCCTGTGGTCTGATGCCTCCAAGATAAACTTATTTGGTTCAGATGGTGTCAAGCGTGTGTGGCGACAACCAGGTGAGGAGTACAAAGACAAGTGTGTCCTGCCTACAGTCAAGCATGGTGGTGGGAGTGTCATGGTCTGGGGCTGCATGAGTGCTGCCGGCACTGGGGAGCTACAGTTCAGTGAGGGAACCATGAATGCCAACATGTACTGTGACAAACTGAAGCAGAGCATGATCCCCTCCCTTCGGAGACTGGGCCGCAGGGCAGTATTCCAAGATGATAACGACCCCAAACACACCTCCAAGACGCCCACTGCCTTGCTAAAGAAGCTGAGGGTAAAGGTGATGGACTGGCCAAGCATGTCTCCAGACCTAAACCGTATGGAGCATCTGTGGGGCATCCTGAAACGGAAGGTGGAGGAGCACAAGGTCTCTAACATCCACCAGCTCCGTGATGTCGTCATGGAGGAGTGGAAGAGGACTCCAATGGCAACCTGTGACGCTCTGGTGAACTCCATGCCCAAGAGAGTTAAGGAAGTGCTGGAAAATAATGGTGGCCACACAAAATATTGACACTTGGGGCCCAATTTGGACAGTTTCAC